GTAGTTGTGAGTTGTTACTTGTTCTTGCTGCACCTGTGATTTCGGATTTAAGTTGTGTTCCCGCTCACTCTTCTGTGTCATTATTATGGTATTCCGCTGATACTTGTTGTTTCCTTTCTTATTGCAATTACGGTATTGTTAATCATATTTTGTAGTCTTTATATAGAAATCTTACACTGTTGTTCCTATACTTATACTTGTTCAGTTTATTAGACCAGTAGGTGTCTTGACTGTTCCTCGTCACTACTCCACCGAGGTCAGTCTTGATACTTACTGGGCACCGCTGTGGTGTGCTCATACTACACTTCTGTAAATTTTTTTTGTACAGATCCAAGTAGTTGTACTCATGGTAAACCTACTACTGCGTTCGCCGGCTTCGGAGTCACCTTCCTATTTATTATTCACATTATTTTTACTTATTTCCAAACAGTTGTATTTAGAAGTTGTAGTAAACTCTCTAGAGCTTATGACTTGTACTACCGGTTTTTGGAAAATTGTAAATTTTGTAGAGGCTTCTATTTCGAGACTGCTAAATTTTAATTATTATTGTTGTTATTCAGTACAAGTTAGGCTTACCTAGCCCCTAAGACTAGGTGCCATCACGATACCCAACGGAGGGGAAATTGGGTCGTGACAGGTTCATGGATGAGGTAGTGGGAAAACATATTGCTCAAATGTAGGGGCGGCTCAAACACATGTGTTGCCTAAAACTAGAATTTAATGTGATGCCTAAATATTTTTAAAAAGTTATGATATACTATATTTTTATTTGAAGTTTGTTTATATTAATATTAATTAGACATTTTTACATAGTTGCTCCCTTTTAAATAATATTCTCATAAATGATAGCAAGCTTTGTTTATTCCAAAAAAGATACATTTTTTTTTTACTTTTTTGGCACTTTCACGTTGATAACTTCATTAACTAAGGGATCCCTCTATATTAATACACTTTTTACTACATTTTATTTTCCCTTACTCTTTTATAATTTCTTTTTTCTCTTCCATAAATAACACTTACCCAAATATATCAAAGATTCTGAAAGAAGAATATCTCAAAAATAATTTTCTCTGCACAATGAGAATTTTAGTTTTTTTTTTGTTTTTTGAGTATTAAACTTGTTTTTGTACAATTTTATTTTAAGTCAAAATATACCTTTAATTTATTTCAAGTATATTATATTGTGATAATTTACAATGCAAATATTTCATCAATTTGTCATATATATTTTTTACATGTATGTATTTATACCACATATATAACTTATATATATACATCATAATGCATTATTAAATTGATATTATTCAAAGTATATTGCTAGCAAATACCTTACATAAAATTTTGATCTAAAATATTAACATGCCACTAATATGTATATAGAAAAAATATATGTCACATAACAACAACAACAACAAACCCAGTTTGATCCCATAAATGGGGAAAAAATATATCACATATACTGTTTATATACGGATAATATATACAAATATGCATGTTATATTAGTGCAAAATATAAATGGTATATTAACAATATCTATTTAAATATAATAAGTGTATAAATAACATATGCATATATACATGATTTTTCTTAAATAACACATGATTTGTAATATACCACAAACACATTATTTTTTTCATGAAATATATGTATTTTATTTCATTACAATATACTAATATATAGTTTTGCTAGGATTAAGTTGAATAAAAAGGTCCATGTATGAAAAGAAAAAAATATGTTATGGATTGGATCGTTGATATATATTTAAATATAAAGACCTATATAAACAACATATGCATATATACATGAATTTTCCTAAAAATACATGATTTATAATGTATATATACCACAAACATACATTATATTTTTTTTAATGAAATATATGTATTTTATTTCATCTGAATATAAAGATGTATAATTTTGCTACATTACGTTGTATAAAAAGGTCCGTGTATGAAAAGAAAAAAATCTTATATGGAGTGGATTGGTTTCCAACAAATACAAAAACATGTTATGGAATAGAGAGAAAAAATAGGGAAAGATATTAAATATTAGGGCTGCCTTTTTAAGTAGCTTGATTCTTGCTGATTTGAATTGCTATATGTATAAATATTTTACTGTCATATTTGTTAATTATTAATTAATGCTAATATTTTGTATTATGTTTTAATAGTCTGCTATTAATAAAAGTAGCCCTTTAATTTTTTGAGATACGAAGTTGTTAACAATTTTTCTTATAATCGATTTCTTTCAACTATCTCTTTTCAATTGATAATATAGCCAATATTTAATCTTTTTTGAGACACTGTTGATCTTAGCTACATTTCTATCAATTTTAATTTTTTAAAATTTCTTTTCATTGAGGCAACTGTTATGATAACTATTTATATTATTCTATAAGCAGTATAAGCATTTGAAAAAACTAATTTTTTTTATATTATATTCTAGTTGTACTATTTTTCTTGTCAATTCAATTGCAATTCACGCGTTAGAAAAACTATTCATACTACCCATTCTTAAGTAAGTCAAACAATTAATTTATTTACATATATAAAAAAAATTCTTTCCTTTTATATCCCTATTTTTTACCGTAAACGCTTGTATAATTAATCTCTTGCCCACGATTTATCCGCAATGATTTAACTTATACACAATATAAATAAATCTTATACTAAATGAAGTTAAAAATCAAAGTGGTTCTTTGAATAAATGACTTTCACCTAAAAGTGAGGAAAATCATTTTCTTTACGTTAATATGGTAACTAAATATTAGAATATAACTTACTCAAAAAGTATTTATTTTATTGTAAAAAAAATACACAAGATAGTGAAATAATTACAAGCAATATAGTAAAAAAAATATAAAAATCTATTTTTTTTTCTCGGCGCACATTAGGTGCTAACTGACCTGCGCCTTCGCCGGAAATGGGAGGAAGATCACCAGCAAAACATCAGTGGTAGAAAGGAAATTAACCGACATCATCACGCGAGAATAAGGAAAACAAACAGCAAAAGCTAAAGAGAAAATGCAAGAGGAAGATCTGAATCCGGAAAGTGACAATGACCTAAATTGGTCAGATCTAACCAGTGCTCGAACTAAATTGGCAACACCGGTGAGCCCAGTCACTCTCTTGACACTGATGGTGAGCGCTAAAGCTAAAGGAGTAGCTGCACCGATGACTTCAATTGGTGGTGCGAGTACGAGCAAATCACAGAGCAATGGAACAATAAATGCAAACTTGCCAAAGGAACAGAGAAGTACTGAGATCGACAATGAGAAGAACATGCACGAGGTGAAATCAGCACAGACTAGAAATGGGGGAAGATCTTGGGCAGGCCTGTTTAATGAGAACAAATTTGCATCTAAGGGTATGAATCTATCCTATATTCCTCCGGTGATACAGGACTGGGATGTTGTAGTAGAATTGCTGGATGAAGACATTACAGAGGAAAATTAGAAGTGGAATCGAGCTGTAATCTTGTACGTGGTGGGAAATACTACACTATTGGGGCAATTGAGCGATTCATAGCAAGTCAGTAGAGCAAAGTCAGAAAACCTAAGGTACTCTTTCATAATGATGGGTATTTCATAATTTTGATGAATAGCGGTGAAGAGAGGGATGAAGTGATGCTGAATGGTCTGTATACTATGAATATCAGACCAATCATACTTACACCATGGACGGAAGGATTTGATTTCAATGAGAAAGTGCTTAAAACTATACCTCTATGGGTCAAATTCCCTAAGCTACCACTTAACGCCAGGACCTAAGCAAAATTGGGAGTGGTTTAGGAAAGCCATTGTACGCTGATGCACGTACGATAGTGGCTGATAGAGTCTCATATTCTAGGGTGTTGATTGAAATGGATATTACTAGGCCATTACCAGGGTCAATCAAATTATATGACCCTAAGGGAAAGGTGATCGAGCAGATGGTACAATATGACTGGAAGCCTCAGTATCGCCAGACATGTTGTCAAATAGGTCACTCATGTAGAGACCAAAAGAAGCAGAACCAAGAGGGAGGACAGCAAAGAGGTAGTGACCAAAAACAAAAACAAGAATGGAGAATAGTGAGGGTGCTTGACCCCAATGTGGATAAAATTGATGCTCAGGGTAGATCATGGAACAAATGAAATCAGAAGGTAAAGTAATGCCTATCCAACAGGAACCTGAAGAGTAATGGCAACTTGCTAGAGGAAAATTTGCATCAAAGAAGAATATGGGAGCCACAAGAGAGAATGAAGTAGACATTGGCAAGGCTTTCAAAGTACTAGTTGATACTGCCCAGAAGATTGTGCAATCATCTGAAGCTCAAGGAGCAAGAGGGCAGCAGAGTAGAAGTGACAGAGGAGGAGGCCCTATAACAACTACTATATCATGATGAATATCATAACATGGAATGTTAGGGGTTTGAATAAAGTGTATAAGCAAAAAGAACTAAAAAAAATTTGTAGAGAGAATAATGTGGTAGCTGGCTATTCTAGAAAATAGAGTCAAGGCAACTAATGTTGATCCAATAATGAAGAAGGTGTTTAGTAACTGAAAATGGGTAGCTAATTATGATGAGGCACCAGGAGGCAGGATCTGTGTAGTATGGGACCAAACAAAGGTGGAGTTTGAGGTTATTCGAGTTCATGAACAATATATAGTAGAGCAGGTGAGCATGAAACAGCACAATATTAATTTCAACTTTGGTGCAGTCTATGGAATGCATACTATACAAGATCGGAAGATACTATGGGAGGATCTAAAGGGAACTATGAATGGAGTCAATGGCCCGAGCTTAATAATAAGGGGGATTTCAATACTATGCTGTCTATTGAGGATAGAAATGCAAGGGAATCCAGTACAAGATATAGAGATGAGAGATCTTAAAAACTTCATAATGGATACTGGATTAGATGAACTCAGATCAGTGGGGATAAAGTTCACCTAGACAAACAATCATGTTCATAGTAGAATTGATAGAATATTGGTTAATGCAGAGTGGATTCAGAAATGGCCTGCCATGGAGGGGATCATTATAAACCCAGGATTTTCATACCACTGTCCTTTGAAAATAACCAGCAAGAAGGTAGGCGACATTTCAAGTTTTTCAACTATTTGGCCAGCCACCAAGACTTTGATGATATAGTCAAGCAATGCTGGAGAAAAAGGTATAGGGGAACTGCAATGCTACATGTGTGGAATAAGCTCAAAAAACTAAAAGGAGATCTAAAGCAGCTCAACAGCCAAGATTTTAACAATATTTGGCACAAGATTGAAGTAGCAAGGAACAAATTAGAAGGCATTCAAGCGCAGCTGACACTTCCAGGAAATGATAATGAAGCAATACTACAAGAAAAAGCTGCTAAATTTGAGTTGGCAAAATGGTTGGAAGTGGAGGAAAGTGTTTTGAAGCAGAAGTCAAGAATCAAATGGCTTAAGTTAGGGGATTCTAACACAGCATATTTCCATGCCTGTGTGAAAAACAGACAAGCAAGGAATCATATTGGCAGATTGATTGACAGTGCAGGGCAAATTCTCCAAAGTGCTACTGAAGTAGAAGAGGACATACTGAGATTCTACAAAAAACTACTTGGTACAACAGCTCCACAACTGTCAGTAGTTATCCTAGAAATCATGCAGAATGGCTATACTTTGAACAGGCAACAACAACTGCAGCTAATCAAGCCTATTACTAAAAAGGAAGTGAAGAAAGCTATGCAAGACATTGATGATAATAAAGCACCAGGATGTGATGGTTATAATTCTTTTTCAAGAAGACATGGCACATATTGGGTGATGATGTTACTACAGCAGTAATGGAGTTCTTTGAAACTACTGAAATGTGCAGAGCCATTAACTGCACCACTATTACCTTGATACCTAAAGTTAAGAACCCAACTAACATCAAGGAATTTCGGCCTATTTCTTGTTGCACAGTGTTGTACAAGATAATATCAAAAGTCCTAACAACAAGATTACAGGAAGTTATGACGAGCCTAATAGATAACTGCCAAACAGCTTTTGTGCCAGGCAGAATGATTACTGATAACATCATTATGAGTCATGAATTGGTCAAAGGTTATGGGAGGAAGAGCATATCGCCAAGACGCATGCTCAAAATTGAAATGTAGAAAGCATATGATTCTGTGGAATGGTTATACATTGAACAAGTGATAACTGGGGTTCCCTGAGAAATTTGTGAAGTGGATAATGGCATGTATTAGTACAGTTGCCTACTCTGTTATAATTAATGGGAAGCTAGCTAAACCATTTGAGGCAAGGAAAAGACTCGGGCAGGGGAATCCCCTATCACCAGTATTATTTGTGATGGCCATGGAGCATCTGAGCAGACTACAAAAGCCTTTGAAGGAGAACAAGAAATTCAAATTTCACCCAAAATGTGCCAAAGTCAACCTAGTGCAATTGAGATTTGCTGATGATCTATTACTTTTCTGTAGAGGGGATATACAATCAATCAAGATACTTCATCAACAATTCCAAGTATTCTATGTTGCCTCAAGATTAATTGCAAATCCAAACAAAAGTTGTATTTATTTTGGAGGAGTGAACAACATGACTCAGCAACAGATTGTGGACATGCTTGGATATACTAAAGGAGAATTACCTTTCAGATACCTAGGGGTCCCTTTGAGCACAAAGAGGCTATCAGTTGTACAATATGAACCATTAATTGATTGAATGCTAAGCAGGATCCAATGTTGGACAACAAATTTTTTGTCATATGCAGGCAGAGCAATGCTAATCAAGAGTGTCCTGGTTGCAATCCAAATATTTTGGGCTCAGATTTTCATTCTGCCAAAGAAAATATCCTGTTCATAGATACAATATGCAGAAGATTCTTATGGTTAGGAACTTCTGAACCTTCTAGAAAGGCATTGATTGCATGGGACACCTATATGCTCCAAAGGTAGCAGGAGGTCTAAATTACATCAATGTGGAGCTGTGGAATAAAGCATCTATTTGCAAGCTCTTATGGAACATTTGTACAAAGAAGGAAAAATTGTGGGTCCAGTGGATTCATGCATACTACATAAAGGGGAATACTATATGAAAAACAGAACAAAAAAGTGCATCGTGGGTCATCCAAAAAATTTTCAAGGCAAGAAAATACTTTGAGGTTGCTGGATATACAGAAGAGGAGGTGAATATGATGGAGAGATTCTCTATAAGACACATATACAAAGCTATGCAAGGGGAGTTTCAGAAGGTGTCATGGAGAAAACTAGTTTGTAATAATCATGGACTGCCAAAGTGGATCTTCATTCTAAGATTGGCAATACAAGAGAGGTTAGCTACAAAAGAAAGGCTAGCAAGGCGGGGGATGTAGACAAAACATACTCACTCTATCAAAAAGAAAATGAAACCTTACAACACTTATTTTTTGAATGTGAAATATCATCAACTATATGACAGCAACTCCTACAATGGCAAGGCATCCAGAGAGCAAAGCTAGATTGGCAGGAAGAGCTGAAGTGGATAGAAAAGAAGGCCAAAGGCAAAAGTGGAGGGGCAGCAGTATGCAAAATGTCAATAGCAGCAGCAGGTTACCATATTTGGCAAGAGAGGAACACTGTTATCTTCAAGCAGAAGAAGAGATCTGCTAAGGCCATCCTTAGACTAATTATTCAGGAAATACATGTTAGAGCTAAGATTTTTCCTAGTTTAGATAGAATCATGAATACACTGAATTGGCACCCTGATATAGTATATGAGAAGATATGTAGAAGAGAGAGCGTAACAAGGTTAGAAAACTCTTAGCTGGGGCTTCATGTCCAGCAGGAGCAAATATAGAAAGTTAGTCTCAATTTTGTTAGTATGTAAATACTTATACTTGGTAAATAAAATCTTTTAGTTACCACAAAAAAAAAAAACAGATAGTCATTCTAGAGGACTTCTATTTAGGAATTAGCCAATGGATCTTGAATTTTAATTTTTCAGTTTAATTTTTCAGGACACAGTCTTGAAATTAAAAAATTTAGTTCAAATTTTGTAGAACAAAATAAATTCTGGCTAATTCCTAAATATTTTCTCCTATTTTATTGAAACAAAAAGAACGGGCCTTACTAAGTGGGCTGCACTAGGATAGCGTTCGTCCTGTTATGAGATGGGCTTAGCGTTCATTAAAGTTATAGCCCATTGTTGAATCCCAAAAAGACAACAAGAAAGCCACGTCATATATCCTTGTAACACAATGTAAGTAAGATTCTTAACCGTTGGATTTTGTTCCAATCCATAATCTTCAGCCACTCATTTAGTATACTTTGTTTTTTTCTGGTCCAGATATTCTCTCTTTAGTTCTTTGATTCCTAGTTTATGAGTAGCAATTTTCCACTGTGCTTTAGAAGCTGACAACTCTTCTTTCTTTGTAGGGACATCTCTGCTCTCTTTCTCTCTTTCTCTCTTTTTCACTGTGTGTGTGCCATGGCAACTGAAAGCTTCAACAAACCTCCATCATACCCTGAGGTAAACCAAGCTTTCTACTTTCCCTTTTTACTTTTTTCATTTTTTTGCATCTCATTTTTTAACATTTTTAGCTCATAATTATACCCCTAAAGTCCTATATATGATTTTTTTACACATACTTCAGTGATTTTTTCTTAGTTCTTGATGAAAGATGTAATCTTAAAAGTTACATGCAAGAACCCTTTAACCCTCATTGTAATATAAACTAGAAAAAAAATTCTAGGTTTTTGCCTTTGTTATGGGTAATTCACTTAATATTTCTCTAATTTTTCAGGACTTGGTGCTTGTAAAGTTTGAGTTTTTGCAATTGTTGTTCAATTCCCTAGAATTTTTTTTGAAAAAGAGAAAAAATTGAGTAGTTTAAAGTGACTATTTTTAGTTCTTTAATGGCTCCCACATGAGCATATATGATATCAAGAATGCTTTTTTTAACAGATCTGCATGTTTGTTTCTTGAAAAAGAAAGAAAAGAAAAAACAAGAATCTAAAAATAAAGATTTGAGTTTTGTTTTAACAGATGATATATGAAGCCATTGAAGCACTAAATCAAGAAGGGGGTTCAAACAAGTCAGCAATATCAACTTACATTGAATCAAAATATGGAGATCTGGGTAAAGATCATTCAGAGTTTCTAACTTTACATTTGGACAACATGAAGCAAACTGGAGAGCTCATTTTCCTCAAGAACAATTACATGAAACCTGGTACAGATGTTCCTCAGAAAAGGGGTAGAGGCAGACCACCAAAGCCAAAAGTTTCTTTGCCACCTGGTGTAGAATCTGCAGAAATTGCATCACCAAGGCCAAGAGGACGACCAAGAAAAGATCCCAATGCACCACCTACTTCAAAAAAGCCAAAGCCAACACCTGCCCCCAATGCTTCTGGGAAGCCTAGGGGTAGGCCTAGGAAAGTTAGGCCACAGCCTGCACAAGATGATGATGATGTAGAGGAAAGCTGAAAAAAAATTGGAGGCTTATTGTTGGACTAGATCTGTTGATGGTGATGACTCTAGTTATGACTTAGTTGTCTTATTTTTCTCTTTGTTTGGTATTACTATCGCTTTGTTGTCGTGTGACTAGGGGTTGGGGATTCAAAGTGGTGCAACTGATGTGGTTTGGCTCTTTTGATGTGGTTTGGCTCTTTCTCGAACCTGATTGCGACCAGTGGACTGATGTGGTACTGAGGTGGTCTGGCTCTTTCTCAAATCCTGCGTATAGTGGTAGCTTATTGTAAGCTTAGTGTAGCAGCCCTTTTATTAGTAGGATCTCCTCTTGGTTAATACCTCTACTTGTAGTGGATTATGACTTGTGTAGTTCTAGTAGGATTGTGTATGTGCTTAGCTCTTTGTTCAAGATTCACTGAAGGGAGATCTGTAATCCTAGTAATCCTTGTTACTATGTGTAATTGCTGTACTTTTCACTCTGCTATCTATATGTTAAAATTAGAATGCATCATTTTGAAACTGTCCTTTTACCATTGAACTATGTTAGTTTGGAGTCCTAACTTGTCCCAAAGGTGTGATTGAGTGGTTGTAGTATTATGTAAATTGTAGGTTTGAATCTCAGTTACAAGATTAGCATCATTCATATACTTTTGTGGGGCAAATTTATCATGACTCATACTTGTGTTGTAGTAGTAGGTTATTTGATGAATTAGTAGAAGTTGAATTATTGGATGCCACCATACTCTTAAAAAAGAAATTTTTGAGTCTTATAATTAAATATTTTCCAAACTTATTGAATTGTGTTTGTTTGTTTGGGATTGAGGTTTATGTTATTGTTGTTGTTGTTGAATTAGATGGATGAGAGTTGTGACAAGAAAATATACAAACTAAACTTGTTTAACATTGGTTGGGTTTGGAGTTAGTTGTTGATGGTGACTGCTAAAGTGAGTTTGTGATGGAGCTCAAGTTGAAAAATAATAATATTACTATTGGATAAGAAGATAATGAAATGAAGACATTGGAGTAGATAAAAAGAACATGAGTTAACAGGTTTTGTTGGAGAAAGCACATCATGTGTACGAACTAGATAGTCTCTATATGGAGACATTATCTCTTATCCATATAAAAAATTGTTACTATAATCATGTCTTTGTCTAAGGTTCCACTTGGGGTTGGAATCTTGATCTAATACGACAAGTCCTTTGATGCCTCCTGGTGGTGGGAGCAGCAGATTGTTGGAATCTTCTTATGTGTCTGGATTCGTGTTGAAGGGTCAGAATTTGTTGTTGGTGGAAGCTGTGATTGGATGCAATGAAAAATACAGTGAGACCTCTCTATAACAGCATCCTCATATAACATTCGTTTACTATAAAAGTCATGCTTCTCTTGGAATCGATTTTAATATTATGTTATAATATATATTTTTTATAATAACACTTCACTATAGCAGCCAAAAAATATCGGAACAAACGAGGCTACTATAAAGACATTTGGCTGTACTATGAGCGTTAGTGAGAAGCGAATCTAGAATTTTAAAGTAGTGTTTGCAGAGTTTATATATTGGATGTGTGAAATGTAAATAAAGTATCATATTGATAGTTGATAAAAAAGAAGAAAGCTATATATAAGGTAGGGAAACTTTGAGGAATTTTAGGAAAAATCAAGCTTGATTCAAAACACACAATATTATGCCAATGACACAAATGACCTTGAAATGAGTTGCTTTTGAACTTTTGACCTTTGGGGCTGGCACCTGATCAACGCCTAAGGTCCCGTTTGGCCATGAGTTTTGCCAAAATAAATTTAGGATTTATTTTCAAAACTCATGTTTGGTCATAGATTTTGCCCACATTTTGGCAAAATCCCAAACCCCAAATCCCAAAATCACCCCTATTGATGATTTTGGGCCAAAATCCCAAAACTTGGGAATTATATACATGTTTTTACAAAATAAAGTTGGAAATATGTTTTGAAAACGTATGTCCAAACACATTTTCATCTTCAAACCAAACTTCACCCAAATCAGATTTTTCAAAATAAATTTGGGATCTATGACCAAACGCTAGCTAAATCTTTTGATTTTTAACTTTGAAGGTTTGCCTATTGGTCAAGTGACCTGCCCCAAAGGCCAAAAGTTAACTACTACTCTTTGAATTAGCTTAGCACATTCCTACTTATCAAGTATAGTTTGAAATTGTAGCAAAAGTAGACATTCAGCAGAAGTATCAAATCTATAAATTTAGATAAGGGTGTAACGTTAGGAAATTGGCACATGTCAAGCACCAGGACCACTCCTAGTTTAATATCTTTTTTCAACAGAAACTGCAGAAAGATGAAGGACAACATGATGGTCCATCATTATGGTCTTGTCTTGGTACATCTATAGAATCTTTGCCAAAGTTGTCATTTTTGTTGACATACAAGGACCACAGAGTAGCACCATTGTTTGACTATTGCCATTCACTTGTTCAATTTCCTTATTGGTTGTGCCTAGGGCTTACTCTACTAGTGGCTCGGCTTGTCTTGCTCCCTTCCCGCACTATTCCTCCCCACTAAAAAGAGCGATTGAGAATCTCAAGAACCTTTCCAAACGTCTGTCTTCGCGGGGCGATTGGATAAGAAAGGAGTACTTAATTCTTTTACTGCCTTCTATTCCACTATTCTGATCGAATTAATTGCTCTTCCAAACGACCAAGTCATAATGAGATTAAAAACCGATGCTTCCTTGGCCGTGTGGAACATGAATTAGCATTATGTATTCCTACAAGTGATGACCCACCCAGCATTGCTATGTACGGACTTAGAGATCAAATATAATATGTTTCTTTCCATTCTTCGTGAGCCACTTATCCCCCCC